TTGTATGGGTAGAAACCAGGTGAAGTGGGATAAAGAAGATGACAAAGCTTCACACTGAAATAAATCTGTTAATCCTGAAGATGCTCCAGGTCTTTTTCTTGGTTTTACATTATTAACATTGCTAATGAACTTCAAAGTGTTTATTACACAAAAATCCTGGCAATAGGCAGAGTAACTGGTCAGTATAATACATGTCAGCTAATCAACAGAGATTAGTCTTTAGACTTTCAATTATGCTGATTGCAGGGAAAAAAGGTGTTTGTGCAGAAGTCCGAGTTTTGCCCAAGAAATGACTTTTTGGTTATATATAAGATGGTAGTAAAAATCAATGTACAAATATACAGTGGGCTGTTCATGGCTGTTAAAGTAAGAGTAACAAAAGCTCAGAATGCTTATAAAAATCCTTAAAAGGGAGACCAATGTTAGTCCGTTGGAGCGAAACCAACAGATAGTTTTCTGCCACTTTAAAGATTATTAACAGGTGTTATTTAGCACAAGTATTTGTAGACTGCAGCCCAGTTTATCACATGCCACAAAAATGTATGTCTAATAAAACCTGTTAGTCTTCAAGTTGTCATTAGATTCTTGGCTTTTTTAAACAACAATTCTTGTTCTGATTCACACATTTGATACACTGTTGGACTGTGGTGAGTGTTGGACTAATATTGAGGAGATGCTGACTTCAGATCTGCTACATTCTGTCAGCCTAACCTGGCCCCCAGGGTTTTCAGCACAGCTTGAAACATGAGGTTCAAAAATTAACATTATATTTTAAAAATTGGATGAGTTGTATAATGTTAAAATTGAAGTTAAAAATGTTTACATTGTTAAATTAACATTATTAATGCATTAATTAAAACATTTACACACTAATTACACCCTTTGAAGAGGATGTATGTCAATGGTTACCAGGAAGACAATATGTATTCAGGATACAGTTTATACCTAGCAACAGCGAGACCATTTTTCATTTCTTAGATGGGTCAGAGAACATTTCCCAGTGAAATGCAGATCAGTGACTGATTTGTTTTTATACTGGACCCATTTGCAAGCAGAATGAAGTTAGTGCTCCAGAAACTGCCTTTTCTGCTTAATTCTCTAGATTTATGGTCCTATATTGCAGAATAGCTATATAGCCAGTCAGTCATAAGAAGTACACCACCCTTCTATTAAGCATACTGATGCTACTCGATAAAAAATAAAAATCACTTTTCCTCAGGATATTATTTATTGGCTCCCACATTTGAAATCCTCTCAAGCCTCTCCAATATTTTTGTTAATTTTTTTCACTTGTTATATCATCTAAGGATCTGAGGCAATTCATTACCTATTGCTGTAGTATGGACCTACATCTGTTTTACACATCCTATGAATAACACTATCTCCTATCTAACCACTAACTATCTGTATTGGCTTTCCCTGGTGTTTTGTATAAATACTGCTTAGCATATGATGAACAAGCAGGACACAGTATCACAGATGAGATTGTACTATACTACAGTTTGGAAACATTAGTATAAATTAGGTAAAGCGGCAGCTAAAAATCATGCAAAACCGTAGCAGGAGGAACCCTCTAAGTAGCACATAGAAACATTAAAAATAGAGTGGCAGAGCTCAACGCTTTTTTCATACTATGGTCCAGACGCTAAGCATATCCTTTTGTTTATTTTGCTTTCAGACAACAAAACATGTGTCATTCAAAGATCAGCAGGATTTTGTACTAGAAACATGAAATCAAAGAGAGAAACCTGTAGCAAAATCAATAGTTCATCTCAGCTAAAATAGACCTACTGAATGACTATGTAAATCCCTTGATTCAATGGGTCTATTCTTAATGGAACCAGAGTAGATTTATCCCATTCTAATAAAAAAATATTATGACTGAACACACACACATCACATCACATAAACATGAAAGAGGTATAATTAATTTAACTTAAAAGAAATAATTTGTATGACAATCCACTCTAGATTTTAGATCAACAGCAATAGTTCAAAATACATTGTGGTGGAAAAGAACAATGGCCAAGAGAAAACGTACACAAAATTCTTACATGGTTGGAATATGATGGTGAATGACTTTTGTTTCAACCATTTATCTCTTTGGCTGGCAAAATTAATTTCCACCACCACATTCAATACAGGAAAGCTCACGGAGTGTGGGGGAGGCACAGACCACCCACAATACTTACTACTTCCTCTACAAGAAAAAGAGATTACCTACCCGTAACTCTGGTTCTTCGAATGGTCATCTGTGAATTCATACTAATGGGTTAATCTGCACTTGTGTGGAGCAGCCTCGGAACTTTCTAGCTTGAGCACATGGTGCCAGGACCTCCCCCATGCTGGCTATAACTCTGCCCCCAACACCGAGTGCCTCAGTTCCATGGAACTGACCACCACTGCATAGCATGCAATGGCACACATGACGGACAGCAGGGAGGAAGGGCGGGGAGTGTGAATTCACAGATGACCACTCGAAGAACCAGAGCTACAGGTAGGTAACCTCTTTCTTCTTCATGGTCTCTGTAAATGCACACTAATTGGTGACTAGCAAGCTCACTTACCAGGAGGAAGGACGTCACAAAAGTGCAGAATCCAGGACAGCTCAATCTACTGCAGCCTCACCCTTGGCCCGGATATGTAGGCAGTAATGGGAGATGAAGGTAGATGGAGTGGCACATGTGGCAGCTTGGCAGATGTCTGCAATGTCTACCCCATGGAGAAAGGTCATCGAGGACACTACAGCTCTTGCAGAGTGAGCTCTGACTTGGCCTGGAAGAGGAGTCTCAGCTAAATCATAGGCAAAGCAGATGGTCTGGACAATCCATCTAGAGATGGTCTGAGAGGAAGCTGGGGTTCCCATAAAGGAGCCAGCAAAAAGGGCTGAGCATAGGGTTTGAAGTGTCTATACCAAGGATAAGGGTCATATCGATAAGGTCCTGGATGAAAATGCAGGTCCCATTCAAAGTCCTCTGCCCCGTACGCCAGTAGGTAGTCAAGGTAATGGCATCAGCCTCGACAAGCAGGGTACCCCCTTGGCTCTGACTGTCGGCTATATGGGTCCAGTTGCTCAGGTGGCTCTAGGTGTCGGGATTTATGGGTTCTCTTATGAGGAACCTCAGTCGGAGCTGGTGGCAAGGCCACAGGTTGCTGTATCAACGAGCCCAATGAAGAACATGGGCTGGCCTGTGCCAATTCAAAAACCTCCAGAGAGGTGTCAGGAATCTTACTGATGGAAGCGGATGGCGGTGGCAAATGTAGGGATACACCCTCTTCCCCGCGGGTACACTCAGGCTCACCAAATGTTGCCCGGATATCTTCGGCCTTGGTGCCGAGACTTCTACAGCTTTAGCAGGCTTAGGGGTTTTCTTCTTCTTCTAACTCGATGTTGAAGATTGCAATGGTGTCGACCCCGCAGCCGTCAAACTTGAGCCCAAGGATGATTTTGGTTTTGGCCACCATTTTCACCACTTTTTGGGCTGTAACCTCAAGTGAAACTGCTGGAGACGGTTGCAGTGTTTTGAGGGAATCCTAAGAGGCAGTTTGAGATGGTGAAAGGGATTTCTCCCAAAGAAATGATTTAAGGTGTTGGAGCAACAACTTCAAGGCCGGCTTTGTAAAGTTTTTGCAAAAGGTGCACACGGCTGGCTGATGTTCTTCTCCATAGCAAAATAAATAACGGGGATGTCCATCAGAGAGGGGAATTTTGTTTGAGCAGACCTCACACCTCTTGAAGAGGCCTGGCGAGGCCATAAACTCAAAGTAAGCAATATGACAATTAATCCATTTTTTTTCTTTTTGCAGATACAGTAACTCACAGTTGTGAAGCGAGGTCAATGGTCCGAAATCAAGCCAGGGAGGTCCAGGTAAGAGAGGGAAAGGTAAGATTGATTGTTAGATTGAGCGCACAAAGTTCCAAACGTAGCTGCAAGAGCGGCAGTCGAAAAGGAACCAAGGCACTCGGTGCCGAGAGCAGAGTTATAGCCAGCGTGGGGGAGGTCCCGGCACCATGTGCTGGAGCTAGAAATTTCTGAGGCTGTTCCATGCAAGTGCAGATTAACCTATTAGTGTGCATTCATAGAGACCACGAAGAAGAACAAGCCTTTCCTCTTATTTGAAATATATTGAAATAGTATTTTCTTGGTAATCTACATCAACAGTGAGCACAGGGGGACCTAAAGGCTGTATGTACCCCCCATGCCTCTACAGGTTCCTAATGACCCAGTTCCCCCCCCCCCAAATGTGCAGAATGTGTTTTTCTGCTTCTGGAGCTGCATTTTTGCAGTGACTGGAGTTCAATCCCTTTCCAGTCCAGAAACCAAAAGATGAAGCCAGACATAGACATACCTGTTTTGATGTCCTTTCTCTCTCTTTTTTTGTCTCCTCCCCCACAAAAAAATGGAGTGTAAATATGGTCCCATATCCATCAAAGTTCTGGACACTACACTTCAAGAAGAAGGCTGACAAATTGCAACAAGTTCAGAGAAGGGCAACAAGGATGATCAGGGGACTGGAAACTAAGCCCTATGAGGAAAGCCTGAAAGAACTGGGCATGTTTAGCCTTGAGAAAAGAAGACAGATGAGTGATATGATAATACCATTCAAATACTGAAAGATTCTCATGCAGAGGAGATATGATTTCAGTCATTCCAAAGTGCATAACATGTAAAGTTGGACTCAGTTTACAGGAAGACAGATTTTTGGCTGAATATCAAGAAAAGCTTCCTAACTGTTAGAGCAGTATGATAATGGAACCGATTACCTTAGAAAATGACGAGTGCTCCAAAGCTGGAGATGTAAAAAAAAAAAAGGCAGACAACCATCTGCCAGATATATTTTGATTTGGATTTCTTGCATTGAGCAGAGGGGTTGGCTTAACAGTCTTCTATGTCCCTTCCAACAACATTATTCTATGATTCTGTAATTCTATGAAAGTTTCCAACTCCTACTCTATAGAGATAAGGTTCACATGGAAAGTAAAGGAGAAGATTTCTCACCAGTTTCACAACTAGGCCCTGTGAAACCCTGTGGACAGGCACAGACATTGGAAGCAATGCAGGCTCCACCATTTCTACAACCATCTTTGCAGAATGCTGAAATAAAATAAATAGAATACTATTAAAAATTAAATCACATACATAAAGAAAATTCCAGGCAGGATCTGATAACTTTATTATAAAAAAACATTTAAATTAATATCTTAATTAAATGTGCTGGCATTGGATCCAACTACAGAGGCATCTTTCTCCGCACCTGAACAGAAAGAATTGGAACCTTACACTGCCCATCTTGTTTTGATCCCCAAGCAGAAAATGTCAGAAGTTTCTGAATGTGATATCGCATTTTTCCATGTATAAGAAAGAATTGGAACCTTACACTGCCCATCTTCTTTTGAACCCCAAGCAGAAAATGTCAGAAGTTGCTGAATGTGATACCACATTTTTCCATGTATAAGAACTATACTTTTTCTAAAATCTTTAGACTAAAAATTGAGGGTCGTCTTATACACAGAAGTAAGCTGAGGAGAGAACAAAAACAAGGGAAGGGGAAAGCAGGGATCAAAGTGGTTCTGTAGCACTTTTATCCCTTTCCCCCTACACTTGCTAAGCCCCATTTAGATTTCTTAATTTTCGATCAGAAAAGTGGGGGGCATCTTATACATGGAGGTGTCTTATACACGGAAAAATATGATAATTTTCATAGCATTCATTTCCTGATGGTAACTTCAATGTGCCTAATTACACTAATTCAGGGTTGTACTTGAACCTTTGCAGAACTTTTATGAGAGGAACTTTTCTACAGATTCTCGAAAACTTTCATTTAACAGTGGTAGTGTAATGTTCAAAAGCTGAAAGTAATATGGGAGTGGTAGAATGCATTTATATTTCCAGGGAAAAAGGCATTCAGCTATGAAAGAATGTTCCCATGGGAAAAACTACATAAATGGCTCTACCCATGATTAACAAAAAAAAATTGTTACAGAAATTACATAAGTTGACTTTAGATCCATATTCATTTAATGATTGTTAACACATCCACCAAGAACAAAAGGTTATATTTCTTCTAAAGAATTTTGAAATGTAACCCAATCACAATATTTGATAGTCATTCTGACACTCTGGTAAAAGAAATTTAAGGCCAAACACGCTCCTAAGAAACTGAAGATGAAGCCTGGTTAGATATATTGTCTGCATATACAGTGATGCCTCGCTTAGCGAGCGCTCCATTTAGCGATGAAATCGCCTTGCAATGAACTTTTTGCAATTGCAAAAGCGATCGCTTTGCGATGTTCCCTATGGGGGAATTTCGCTTTGCAATGATCGGTTCCCTGCTTCGGGAACTGATCATCGGAAAGTGACCATTTTCGCACAGCTGATCAGTGGTTTCAAAATGGCCGCCGGGTAAACAAAATGGCCACTTGCTATTTTCTGGGGCAGATTCCTCACTTAAAAGGCACCAAAAATGGCTGTGTTATGGAGGATCTTCGCTGAACGGTGAGTTTTAAGCCCCCAGGAACGCATTAATCAGGTTTTAATGCATTTCTATGGGCTTTTTAATATTGTACGATTTTTGCGGAACGAATTAACGTTGCAATGCGAGGCACCACTGTACAGACAACATATTGATCACGACATAGTTTAGATCAATAATACTCCAAAGAGGTGAACTGCAGACAGTTCACTGCATCTATATATGGTGGCATTTGCCACCCTGTCGTTGGGGGAACAGCCTCTAATTCACAGAAATCCATGATAAAATTATTTCATGGGTAGGTGGGGTCTATCAGATGATACTGTTTGGTATCATTTGATTTTGGTCCACAGCAAATGAAAGGCAGCTTCCAGGTACACAAGCAGAAAGGAGATAAAATCATCAAGGAAATAAATATCATCCTTTTTTTTGTCTTGATACCTCCTTACCTTTGCATACAGTGCCGTTTCCAGTATAACCTGGCTTGCAAATACAGTTATGGCCTCCAACAGTATTGAAGCAGAGTGCATTGTCATCACAATTGTGTTGGTTTGTGAGGCATTCATCATGCTCTAAAAGGTTAAACAAGTATGTTATTTAGGTCACTCAGTACTGCAATATAGCCAAGTGTTTTTATAAGCTTTGATACATTCCAATTCTGTCACTACCTTTATCTTCCCTCCAATTTGCTAGCAAACATCTCCCTCGCTACACAAAGGATGTAAATTTACATTCATTATGTTAAAAGTACGTCTCACTGACTTCAACAGGGTTTACTTTTAAATAGATACATAGGAGAATACACACTGACAGTATAAAGTTGCACTCTGTTCAACGGTGCTTACTCCCAAGTAAGTGACTGCAGCCTAAATGTCGTCTTGCAATTTGCAGTCTAGAAACCAGAAGCAGGCAAATGCAAAATTAAAGGAATTACCAGATGCACCCCATTTTCCACAGGAACTAAGGCACAAATTGACACTCCAAACTGTGAACTGGACTACAAAATATTTTAGGCAGTCATAAGGGTCAGAAAAGCGAAACAATAAATGAATGTTATCTGGGACACTGAGCAACATACAAGTAGTAAAGAAAAAAATATTTTGACACAGTAACAGGTGGAATATTGTTAGAGCTTTATAGAAGTGCTACATGTTATTTAATCAAAATGGCAAGAAAGAGTAAAAATGGGTGTCTTGTTTCAGTGTGTCAGTGTTAAAACAGTGGCAAACTCTTTGAAATGTGATACATAACCCTTTTTTGCATTCTATGAACACACAGCTGGCAAGGCAGAGCTATCAATGGCAGTTTTGCTAACCTATCAGTAGAATAGAAATCAGGTAATTTAAAGTTTCATAACTTTCTGTTATCCTAAGGCAGACCAGTGGTTTTGGTTTTGGTTTATCCTGGTCTTTCTTCTAACAAACCCAAGAAAAGATACATGTCCCCCACCTACCCACATTTTATCCTCACAACAACTTTGTGCCAAGATATAGGTTAGGCTAAGCCATGAAACTTATTTAGTGGTTTTCGAGCCAACTCAAAAACCCCTAAATAAGTTTCATGGCTTAGCTATGATTTCAACTTGAGTCTATTTAACATTAACCATTATACCACACTGGCTTAGTAAACACTTGTAATAATTTCTTGCATCAAGATGTCCACAGTCTTATGCTTTCTATTAATTGCATATCTATCTATCTATCTATCTATCTATCTATCTATCTATCTATCTATCTATCTATCTATCTATCTATCTATCTATCTATCTATCTATCTATCT